CATACACTCGAAATGGACCATGTTCCGGACAGGTATCCTGGTCAAGGTACCCTGGTTTAGGACTTTGTAGGTCAGCACCACCATAGTGTAGTTTTTGCAGGACTGGTGTTATATAGTTTCCAAAATGGACACCTGACATTAGTCTGGCTGCTGCATTTTGCACTAGCTGCAGCTTCTAAACACTTTTCAAAGGCAGCCCCGTGAAGAGCGCATTACAATACAGGCATGCCCTGCTTTTTGACAGACCACTTTTCAATTTTCCATTCTTTCAGTCCCATTACATTACTACCAAAACTCATTTTATTTGACATGTGGTCTGCTCTTTCAACAAATATAAGTACCTGTACAGCACACTAAAAGTAAAGGTAAAGGTAGTCCTTTGATATGAATGCCTAGTTGTAACCGACTGTAAGGGTGGTGCTCATCTCCGTTACTGACCCAAAGAACCAGCATTGTCCAAAAATAAATATGCTGGGTCATGTGGCCAGGATGACTGCACCGAATACTGTTACCTTCCCACCAAAATGCTGCCCTACCTATCTAATTACTTGCATTTGCATACTTTCAAACTGCTAGGTTGGCAGAAGCTGGGACTAGTGACAAGAGTTCACCCAATCTTGCAGCAGTCGAGCCTTGAACTTCCAACCTTCCGACCTTTCAATTGTCAGAACTGGTGCCGTAACCACTATGCAACCACATCCCTACACAATGATACCACAATTTCTATAGCATACCTTACACAGACAGAATGAAAAGATGGCGCTTTGCATAATGCTTTTGCAAAAACACACTGCTTTTTATTTAACTCGGTACCATCTTTTCATTCACTTATACTGTAATATCATATACATATTACTTACCATATTACTTATACAGTAATATCATATACAGTTATATGGGTTCCATATTTCAATGATTTCTGCTTTTTGGCAGTGCTCTGGTCCTTAACCTGTCAAATAAGTGGGAGACTACTGTAGTCTAATTGAAAGGTAATTAAGGCATGAACCACTGTAGCCAGGTTTGTCTTCCCCAATAAAGGGTGCAGCCAGCAAACCAGCCAAAGCTGTGCAAAGGCACTCCTGGCCACTACAGCAACTTGGCATTCCAGTAGCAGTGCTGGGTCCAAGAGTACCCCCAAAGTATGAACCTTATCTTTCAGAGGAAGAGCAACCCCATCCAGAACAGGCTGCAGTCCCAATCCCAGTTTCCTACTGACCATCTTGTCTCGATTAAGCCTCAGTCTGTTCACCCACATCCAGTCTTTGTATCCAGACCTCAAATTCAGTACTACTCAGCTACCTTGGCATCAGTTGTAAAGGAGAGACACAGCTGGGTACAATCAGTACACTAACAAAACACAGCCCCAAAGCTCCAGGCATCCTCTCTCAGAGTTTCATGTATATGCTAAAAAACATAGGGAACAATACTGAGCACTGTGAAACCTCACAGGCTAATGGCCAAAAGACTGAAAAACAGTCGTCGTCCCCCCACCCTCTGGGAACATTCAGCCAAGAAAGACCAGAACCCCTGTAAAGTGATGCCCCCAAATCCCATATCACCCAAACGACCCAGAAGGATACTATAGTTCATTGTATCAAATGCCGCTGAAAGATTCAGGAGAACCAATAGGGATACACTCCCCCTATCCAGCTCCCAGTGTCATCTACCAAGGTGACCAAGGCTGTTTCTGTCCCATAACCAGGCCTAAACACAGATTGGAATTGGTCCAGATAATCCACTTCATCCAGGAAAGCCTGGAATTATGTTGCCATCACTTGCTGCAGGATCTGTCTTAGAAAGGGGAGATTAGAGACTGGCCAATAGTTGCCTAGAGAGGTGGACTCTAATCAAGTCTTTTTTTTTTCCACCAAGCCCTAACAATGGCTTCTTTTAGAGAAGTTGGGACATAGCCCTCTTTCAAAGAAGCCTTTAGAACTTTCACTACCCAATTGGTCAGTCCTCCTCTGCCAGCGTTAATGACCAAGGATGGACAGGGTCTAAGAGACAAGAGGTTGGCCTCACCTCTCCAAGCAACATGTCCATAGCATTATGTTGAACAACCTGAAACTCATCC